TCTGAGCTTAATAAAAACGCTTCTTTGCTCTGTTGTCCTTAAAACCAATGATAAGAAGCTTAATTTGCTTCTTAACACACACACACACACACACACACACACACACACACACACACACGCACACACACACACACACACAGAAACACAAGTGCACATGTGCAAGTGTTGCAACTTTCTTTTCCACTGGGCTGTGCCAGTAAAGCTTCGTAGCTCTCCCCACTTCCACTTCCTGTTGAAAATCCACAGCCGGCACACAAAGCTGGGATAGCCTTGTTCTGTGAGGATACAACAGACCCATCTTCGAAATGTGGGTGGAGCGAGGACGCGTTTGAATACGCGAGAATGAGTATTCTTGGAATTCGGACAGTACTCGTCGCTGCGCTGTGACGTCATCAACCTCAAAATGCGTCCTCACAAGCATCCTTCCCGTGGATTCGGACACACCCTGTGTTCTTGTTAGCAAGGCGCCTGGCCTTGCAAGATGATGTCTTGCGAGGCCAGGCGCCTTGACATGGAGAAACACCCTGAGACCCACTCCCATATATTTCTGAACCGATATTTATGGTTATTTGTTATGAATCCGCCAATATTTTTCATCAACTCAGCATCTTTTAATTCATTTACAACATCATTACGATGGATATTTCCAGAGATTAATGGTAAAAGCTACACATTGTCACTTCAATGTCCCTTAAAACGATATTTTAGAGTTGCAGAAGCAAACTATCGCTGCTCACTTTATGATTCGTGATGATGCTTTGTCTATACTTCATGTCACCGTTGCAAATATGAAACACACCATGCACAAAAACTAGAAACGTTCATTTTACTTTAAATTGGACCTAATTTAACATAAATTATTTGTTTGTAATATATATTAAAATATTACAGTAATTATGTATTGAAATATTTTCTACCTAAAATGCACATGAGTGATTTTGTGTTTTATAATAAACTAAGTAAATATTTTTCCAATATCCTCCAATTAGAAAAGGTGTAGCTTTGTTGTTGTTGAATCCTATCATTCATTTATTAAACTACAGTTACATTTTAAGAAGTTTTACCTCATCCATGCCATCATCAGCTTGTAAAGCAGAATTTTATTTGTGTTATTTGCAAACACCTTGTAAACTCTTTATTTTCTTTCTTGTGTACTTTACCACTGTAGGTTCTTTATCACATTTAACACGTCCGGCTTGTCCTGCAGCTCTGTAGCAAGCCCCTGCTGCAGTCTTTATACTCAGGCATGCCTTTCTCTTTGAAACAAATCTAAAGTGTTCCCAAATCAAGTTTCTCTTGTACTAATATGAGGCTGTTTAAGTGATAACTCCTGCAGGAATTGTTGTGGCACTGTTAAATCCAAATCCGACACATCGAGTAGCTCTAAAGCACCACCACAGCCACAGAGGGGCAGTGTTAGTCAGTGGAAACGTCCCGCTAGGCGTAAACCTCCAGTGATTCAAACCTCATGTAAAATAATCCTCAAATCAGAGTTTATGCTGCACCCGTTACGTACTCAAAAGGTATTTTATATTCTTAATTCTATTGTTTCCCACTTAATCCCATGAACACACACACACACACACACACACACACACAGGTAAAAGATGGGTTTTCTAAAGACAAATCCAGCTGTTGACAGTTTTGCTAGAATGAATACGTATTGCTTTTAGTTTGTTACACCGTAGGAATATGGCTTTAAGTGAGTCCACTCATGACTCAAACCTCCTGTTTTCTACTCTGTTATCTCAGAATAAAATTAGTTGTTTTCAGACATCTTTTAAAATCTATTTAGAAAATATTTTTCCAAGCTTTGCACGTTCATCCCGTTTGAACTCAAACATCTCAAATATAAGCAGAACGCTGGAGCACAGAGGACAGCATTCACGGGTTTCTTCTTTAAAGATTGATCACACAGCCAGTACCGTTCATGAAGTCAACACTGATGTTATCTACAGGTAAACACGTGTGCGGCTCTGAGATCCACCGTAACACGCAGCAGTGTTTGGTGTCTTTCTAGTGATTCTTTGATCTGATGATGTTTAAAACACAAACGGCACACTGCTCTGTATTGTGTTAATGTTAAATGTGCAGATGCGCAGATCTATTTTTATGTTTATATCTTCTCATCTAGTCTGTTACTACTGAGGTTTCACTCACCACATCTGCTTTTCATCTTCAACCACTGAACAACCTGTGTCAGAACCAGCAGCAGCTCACCGTTCGTGTCTCCATCCTCATGGACTCTGGGTTGGCTCACATTCACGTAAACGATCTAGACTTCTAATCCACGCACAAACTCATCAGTCAGGATGTGTGTGGCTAATCTGCCTAACCTGCCCTCCAGCCAGTCGGTGGCAACATGGAGGGTAGAACATGTTCCTCCAGTGTCTAAGCCTGCAGCAGCATAACTAAAGGGATGAGTCAGGATTACCAAAGCTAAGATCCTGATCCATTCATCAAAAAGCCATCTGACTGTCCCTCCCCCCTCTGCACAAACTCTGTTATGTACATGAATCACGCTTTCTCGGTTCAGATTATTTAAACAGGAATTAAAACCTTCCTAATGGATGAATGTTCCATTCTGTTTGAGTTAGCAACTTTCATTGGATGAGTGATTTTACATGTTCTATTTAGAGTCTGGTTCTGTTCTTGTTGGGAAACCTTAAGGTGACTAACTTGTATGCAAGCAGCACGTCAGCTGGCTGGGTGTGCGGTGAGCTGTTTGACGTTCGAGGTCGGCTCGGACTCTGAAGTTACGAGTAAACCAAGAAAGCTGAAACCTGCCATGTTTCTCATCATAAAAACACCTCATCTCACCTATAGCACATTAAATTGTTGTATGGTTACCCAGATACGTCATGTTAGGACAGAAAAGGAGCCAACAATGGATAAAAACATGAGATAGCTCTATGTTTTGATGTAGACAATATCCAGTTGGTTTTAAAAGACACACAGTGGCGACGTTTCAGGGTAAAACTGCCGCTACAGCGTGTCTTTTGAATGCGCCATGGCGGCATGGCGAGGCGAGAATATTGCGCCAATTGTGCCGCCAAGCTCGATAATATTCCTGCAACACCGGACTTATGTATGGTGATCACGTCTTTGTGCAACAGATGGTGATGTCATGATTACTTATCAAATGTGAGCCAAGGCAACAAGACGGAGGGGAGACAGTATCCGCGGAGACGACTGGAGCGATGCAGAGATCCGGGAGCTGCTGGTCGTCAGAGCTGAAGAGCAGGATGTGAGAGTTCACCGGGTCTGTGAAGGACAAACATGATCCCACTTTTCCTGCCACAGACCCGGGCAGGGCTCGAGGAAAGTCGGACCTTTGGATTGTTATTTTTCATCATTCATTTTGCTTGAAAGGTTTTTTTAAACGACATCCACACCACCTTCGACTGAGATTTCTCTAAAAGGAAACTAAACCGTTCAGCCTTGTGCGGCTCACTGAGGCGATGGTGGCACGGGAGTTAAGTGCTCACCTCGTATTCAGAAGGTTGCAGGTTCGAACCCTGCTCAGTACGTTGTGCCCTTGGGCAAGACACTAAACCCACCTTGCCTGGTGGTGGTGGTGGTCGGATGGACCGTTGGCGCCTCTGTCAGTGCGCCCCAGTCAGAGCAGCTGTGGCCACATTGTAGCTCATCCCCACCAGGGTGTGAATGGGTGAATGACTGGTTGTGTTGTAAAGCGCCTTGGGGGGTCCAGGACTCTAGAAGGCACTATATCAAATACAGGCCATTTAGCATTACTGATGGAAGCTGGAGCCTGCTAGCTGAAAGCTCGGCCCCCGCTCCACCTCTGCTCTAGGAAGCAGTCAGTCTGAGGCCTGAGTGGAACACATCAGCTTGGCCAGGCTGTATTTCTCAATGAATCTATCTGACTTTTTCCCCATTTGCGCACAGGTTTTGTAAATAATTAGTAATGTTTTAGTTGTACTTGTATCTTTTTGCCTCGTGAACGCGCCTGCGGCCACAAAATATCATCACATGATCTTTTCATCCCAAGGTGGTTTTACCCAAAAGCTTTCCACAAAGACATAATCATAAAAGGTTTAGTATAATATAGATCACATCTCTCTTTAGTGTGGGCCACTGACCTCCAACTGTATCGGCTCTCTCCAGCCTGATAGTCTGTTCTTCTGGAGGCATAATGTTTGGATTGGTTGGGAAATATATTGGCAATAAAGAGACAAAAGGATGTCATAAACGTTGATTAAAGCTCTGGTTAAAAGACAGAGGCGGAGAAGCTCTGAGTTATGAGGGCTTTCCAGACTGCGTTATTGTTTCAGTGACAGAGCTCTTAGTGTGTCTGGTGCAGTGGTCGCAGGCCAGTGGTAAACATTTCTCAATGTGCGAGGAGTCATTAATCCCTGTGGGTTTGAGGATGGCTTCGCTGCTACCGGTGTCTGTGGCTGAAGAAATCACAGCCGGTTGGCACCAGCAGCAGGACACACCGAGCCCTCAGACAGGAGGATCTGACTCCGGCTTAAATCTCTCAGCTACAGATGCAGCACTACCGCTGAACTACCGCGTTTTGGAAGCAGAGCTTAATTTAATTTCAAAATGTTAATGATGAATGTGGTCTTTCCAGTTTGTGGACTGCTTATAAAGATCAGAAGAAATGCAGGTCTTCGTTGATTTAGTTTCGATGTTTCTTCATTTATGTGTGACCATTTCAGTTAGCACCTGTGAGTCTGTGACTTGGTTATATTAATCACACTTCTCACTGGGGAATTATTTAGATTTTGTTCCAGCCGACTGATGTAATATTTCAGCAGAGCCGTCTAGTCATTTATAATGAATTTTATTTGTTATTTTGGTTGATGGTTCTCCAGCTAATTTAACTAATGCAGCTGAGTTTATGGGACAGCGCCACCGTGCTGATTTGCCTGCGGGGCTTTGTTGCACCGCACCCACTTCAGGACCAGCGGTCTCCGTCCATCCATCCGTCCATGCTCCTGGGCGTGCACTCACAAGCCCCGCCCCGCTCGCGCCGCCTACCAGTGGACCGCAATGATTTAGAAGTTCAGGAATCCCACGTGACGTCACCCAGGGGTGACGTTATGGTTCTCTAAATAGATCGTATTGTAATCTTTTCTCAGTCCAACGTGGTTTCTTCTGAGGGACTGCTTCATATTTTCTGCACTTGGTAAGTTGGAAACCTTGCCACCATGCAGACCCTCGTGCACGAGCCTCTGCAGGTTGGTTGACTTCGTTAAAAGCGTTTTTCTCCTCTCTCTCTCTCTTCTTTCCTCCTCCATGAAACAGCTTGATTTGTTCGCTTCAGCGCTTTTGGAAAAAATATTATTTTGCTTTTCTTATCCCTGCAACAATGTTAAGCTCGCGATTGAAAGTCTGGTGTGAGTTTCGTGTTAAGTGAGTGCATTGTCATGGTGTGCGCGCGTGTGTGTGTGTGTGTGTGTGTGTCTGAGAGAGAGAGAGAGAGAGAGAGAGTGTGTGTGTGAGAGAGAGAGAGTTTGCTGCTGATTGTTGCTGAAGTTGAACGCGGAGTCAAGTGCCGCAGCTCGGTCTGTCTGCCTGTCAGGTCCGCAGGAATTCATCTTCCGACATCCGCAAAAAGGAGGATTTTCTGCACGCCGCACATTAGTTTCTGCACCTCCTCAGCGTTTCCTCCCAGCTTGCGGGTCTGCGCATCACCGGTGCGCCTGTCCCGTTTGGGGATACGCGGAGCCGCACCGCTCCACGGCTTCTGTTTCCATCAGATCTGCTTTTTTAACGTTAAAAGCAACAAGAGCAACATGACGTCATTCTGTGGGATGTAGGCCGATCAGATGCTGAGGTTTCAGGAAGGTGCTGACGAGAAAGAAAGAACTTCAATTATTTAATTACTTTCATTATGTTTATGTGGCAGCACTGTCAATAACCACTTTTCTTTCACCCACCCTTTAATTATTGCCCAGACTTCCGGTAACAGCAGACAGACCGAATGACGAAAATAGATGGATTACATTTCCGCTACCTTTAAAATAATTTACCGATGCCGTTAATAAACCCTCTGGTAAACAAGGCACCAGATGTAGAAATAAAACTCGTTTTTTCAACAACCAAACCTTGCAAGATTCAGCCAAAGTTGCAAAATGTCCTGATTAAAATATATATAAATCAGATTAAAATTTTAATCACAATTCTAATTAAATGAATGATGAAAAATCAAAGAAAAACCCAAAATGTCAAGTCTGGTGGATCTCCCTGGGTAACTGGTTTTAATTAGTAACCTTGAAGCAGATTCTTTCCATATTTTATCAAGCTGAGTGCAGCTCAGTGGCTGATTGCAGCAGTGAAATGTGACCCAGACTCGGTTTCATGTGCTTAGGGTAGTGCTGGTGAAGGAGTCAAACGACAGCAGTCTCTTGTTTCATGCCCTAAGTTTTTAATGCAGGACTCATTTTCTTGCCCATACCCCGCTTTACAGTACTAAACTTCTCCAGTCTTCTCGCAGACATGTAGCTCAAGAGCACAGTTGTCATCTGGACCACGCTCACTGCCTCAGAAATTGAACTTGTGCTGTCACAAGCCGAGGTTATCGGAAGGTACGTTTTGCTCTGCACGTTTGTGCTCGTTTTAACCCCACGTACCTTTTTGCACCTGACTCCCGCCGTTTGACTTCAAACACAATGTCTGGAGAATTCCTTCCTCTGGAAATCGAAGGCTGGACTAACCCCCCCATGCACCTCACTTACACCGGTTTATAGTTAATGTGAGGTGTAACCACATTTCCTCTACTAAACTAAAACATCGACACCTAAAATGAACCAAGTGCCCCATTTCCAGGAAAGGGGCATCAAGCATCAGGTAGTGTGAAGTGCAAAAGCAAAGGAACCATTCACAGAGGCATCTACGGGATGAATGGTGGAGTTTTCTGCATCATGTGGTTCGAATGTCGTGGTAATTGGGCTGAAATGATCAACCCCAATATTACAAACAGAAAAAGGAAAGAAACGTGTATTTTTTTTTATTGGTGATCATTGTGGAAATGACTTAGATGCAGCCAAAAGAAACAGCTGAAAATTACGTATCCGTGATGCAAATGTGGCAGAAACACACGAATAACCGGTGTGCCGCACAAGTCACTCTGTTTAGTTTGTTGCTGATGTTTGTTGTGTCAAAGGTGACCAGGTGAGTTGTTGGGGTCCCTGCAGAAGAGCGAGGGAACTGGTCTCCGTGGTCTCTGACAGAGAGACCCTGTCCAGACCCCGTTCCACAGGCTTGCCTATGAAGCACAGCCTGTTAGGAAAACACCACAGCCTAGCATAACACAATATTAGGGTGTTTTGACTTCTCTTGAGGAAACAGTCTGCACGCATGAAAAAGAGAATTTTATGAACCTGGTGCATGAAAGTGTTCTCAAAGAGCGTTTCAGATGTGGCACTGGATAAATGACAGATGCAGCACAGTTCTTGTCAGCTTATGGTTAGGATTAGAAAAGTGATTAGCTGTATTTAAAGTGTGTAATAAATGAGAATTATATCCTGCAGTAACTCCGTAGCTGTTCCATTCATCCTGATGGGAACACACACTGAGAGTTTCAGACTGAACACGCCACAGATGAGGTGACCTCCTGCCCTCATTTGGTGACACAAAATACGAAGATATTGAAAAATAGTAACAGAATATTTTCATTATTATAAAACACTTTTTCATCTCAACGTTGTTTAAACATCCCAACTTCATTTGCTAAAGAGAAAAAGACAGAACGAGAAAATTGTGATATTTACATCAAGAGGACTAATAACACAAAATTCTTTCTTTGTCAGTGTTTGGAATGTGAAACAGCAAAAGTTGAGTAAAAACGTGAACAGCCTTTATGCTGCCAGACATGCAGAGATTACCGGGTGGCTCTCCAGCTGGAGGGGTTCTGATGACAGCTTCACATGACTTTGCTTGTTTTACATTATTAGTTCAAATCCATTCAGAAAACATCGTTCCTGTTCTCGTGTCTGACTCAGGTTTCATGCATGACCTGAAGAGTCGATTAACGTGTGCTACGAGACACTTTTCTGGTGAACAGGGTTGGGGTCGGGTATGTTTTCTATCTAAGAGGATCTAAGAACCAAACTAAATGTGTTTAGAGCTGTAAGGACATTTGGATTAAAAGTTGTGTTTATATATTGAAAATGAATTTAACTCTTAACTAACTGTCCACTGCTTACCTTACAGAACGTTCCTCAACACAACTCTAGCAACTAAATCAGCAAAACCTTTAATCATTTCGCTGGTTTGATGCATCAGAAATTTGCATCTTCGCTGGTGATTGTAGATCAGTGCAGAGCAGCGTGTTCATTCTTGAGAAAACATTTATGACTAATTTAAATTAGCTAAACGAAACAGGATTAGTACTTCTTACTGTATATTTGTTCTTATACAATCTATTGAGAATACATGTTATGCTTTAGCAAAACTTCGTATATTTTATGTAAAAATGCATTTGAAATATACTTTTTCAAGCTTTTTCAAAGTTACTGTTTCAAGGAAACAACAGTTCATATTTTCTTTTTTATGTTTTCTCTAGTTTTATGAGACTCTGGCCAGAGGGATGAACTCAGACCAGGAAAGGCTGTTTGTGTGTAACGCTCCCGGCTGTTCTCAGGTCAGTGTGGGTACAAACCAAAGCCCGAAACCACCAAGCAGCCAGACTTTCTTGTAATATTTGGTAGTGTTCTTGATCAATAGTTCTCCAGGTTTTTGGAAAGATTTTTATAGACTTTGACGGTTATTTTACTAGTTTTCTGTCCAGTTCTTAGGTTTGATCATGACACTAAGGATGGAGGACAAAATAAGTTTAGATCTAAAATAAACTGTCTGCAGCAGATGAACGATCTGAAAGTTGTATTTTTAATAAATGGAGAAAAGAAATCAATCAAAAAGTTGATCCAGGACGTGAGAAATGCACCATCCTGGTCTTGGCCCTGTGTCGCTACCTTTTTTTAATAAATTCAACAGAAAAATTGGAACAAGTGAAGTCTTTGTGACAGACTGATCTAATTTAAAACTGTATTTTTGTCTAGTTGCTTGTTTAGTGTTGATGCAACAGTGGCTCATGCCTTGAGTTTAGCTTCCCACGCTTGAACGATTCACTGTCAGGATCAAGTGGCTTAAACAAGTAACAGACAAACAGATCAGTTCGTTTTCAGGCACTGGACTGAAAATAGCTGAAACTAACAGCAAAAGTCCAGATTTATGACTAGAAATTCTGATTCTTCCTAAGCTAAAGCAGGGATGTACCTCAAGACTTTTAGACAGTTTCTTCTCGTTAGTGTAAATAATACTCACACACCTCTTCTTCTTCCAAACCGAACAGCGGTTCCCCACGGAAGACCATCTGATGATCCATCGACACAAACATGAGATGACCCTTAAATTCCCCAGCATAAAGAATGACAACATGTTATCAGGTGAGTTATGACAGCATCAACACTGTTAGAGTCCAGCAGCTTTGCTCGCAGATGTGTGCCAAGGTGACGCATGCACACACATTCTTGTCTGTCATTAGACACCTTTATGGCAAGCTGTTTACAGTAATGTAAATCATATGGTGCGTAGCCTTCAGCTCACTTCCAGTCATTGCATACCAACGGTGCAAACTTCAGCGGAGGCAGATGCACTCACATAGCCGATGCAGACGCGCTCACATAGCCGATGCAGACGCGCTCACATAGCGGATGCAGACGCGCTCACATAGCCGATGCAGACGCGCTCACATAGCCGATGCAGACGCGCTCACATAGCCGATGCAGACGCGCTCACATAGCCGATGCAGACGCGCTCACATAGCCGATGCAGACGCGCTCACATAGCCGATGCAGACGCGCTCACATAGCCGATGCAGAAGCACTCACATAGCGGATGCAGACGCGCTCATGTAGCGGATGCAGACGCGCTCACGTAGCCGATGCAGACACACTCACATAGCGGATGCAGACGCACTCACATAGCCGATGCAGACGCGCTCACATAGCGGATGCAGACACGCTCACATAGCGGATGCAGACGCGCTCACATAGCGGATGCAGACACACTCACATAGCGGATGCAGACACACTCACATAGCGGATGCAGACGCACTCACATAGCCGATGCAGACGCGCTCACATAGCGGATGCAGACACACTCACGTAGCGGATGCAGACGCGCTCACATAGCGGATGCAGACACACTCACGTAGCCGATGCAGACACACTCACATAGCGGATGCAGACGCACTCACATAGCCGATGCAGACGCGCTCACATAGCGGATGCAGACACGCTCACATAGCGGATGCAGACGCGCTCACATAGCGGATGCAGACACACTCACATAGCGGATGCAGACACACTCACATAGCGGATGCAGACGCACTCACATAGCCGATGCAGACGCGCTCACATAGCGGATGCAGACACACTCACGTAGCGGATGCAGACACGCTCACATAGCGGATGCAGACGCGCTCACATAGCGGATGCAGACACGCTCACATAGCCGATGCAGACGCACTCACGTAGCGGATGCAGACACGCTCACGTAGCGGATGCAGACACGCTCACATAGCGGATGCAGACACGCTCACATAGCCGATGCAGACGCGCTCACATAGCGGATGCAGACGCACTCACATAGCGGATGCAGACTCGCTCACATAGCGGATGCAGACGCACTCAAATAGCCGATGCAGACGCGCTCACATAGCGGATGCAGACGCGCTCACGTAGCGGATGCAGACGCACTCACGTAGCGGATGCAGACGCGCTCACGTAGCCGATGCAGACGCGCTCACATAGCGGATGCAGACGCGCTCACGTAGCGGATGCAGACGCGCTCACGTAGCCGATGCAGACGCGCTCACATAGCGGATGCAGACGCACTCACGTAGCGGATACAGACGCGCTCACGTAGCCGATGCAGACGCGCTCACATAGCGGATACAGACGCGCTCAAGTAGCCGATACAGACGCGCTCACGTAGCCGATGCAGACGCGCTCACATAGCCGATGCAGACGCACTCACATAGCGGATGCAGACGCACTCACGTAGCCGATGCAGACGCGCTCACGTAGCCGATGCAGACGCACTCACATAGCGGATGCAGACGCGCTCACGTAGCGGATACAGACGCGCTCACGTAGCCGATGCAGACGCGCTCACATAGCGGATGCAGACGCGCTCACGTAGCGGATGCAGACGCGCTCACATAGCGGATGCAGACGCGCTCACATAGCCGATGCAGACGCGCTCACATAGCCGATGCAGACGGGCTCACGTAGCGGATGCAGACGCACTCACATAGCGGATGCAGACGCACTCACATAGCGGATGCAGACGCGCTCACGTAGCGGATGCAGACGCACTCACATAGCCGATGCAGACGCGCTCACGTAGCCGATGCAGACGCACTCACATAGCGGATGCAGACGCGCTCACATAGCCGATGCAGACGCGCTCACATAGCCAATGCAGACGCGCTCACGTAGCCGATGCAGACGCGCTCACGTAGCGGATGCAGACGCGCTCACATAGCGGATGCAGACGCGCTCACATAGCCGATGCAGACGCGCTCACGTAGCGGATGCAGACGCACTCACATAGCGGATGCAGACGCGCTCACATAGCGGATGCAGACGCACTCACATAGCGGATGCAGACGCGCTCACGTAGCCGATGCAGACGCGCTCACGTAGCCGATGCAGACGCGCTCACGTAGCCGATGCAGACGCGCTCACGTAGCGGATACAGACGCGCTCACGTAGCCGATACAGACGCGCTCACGTAGCCGATGCAGACGCGCTCACGTAGCGGATGCAGACGCGCTCACGTAGCCGATGCAGACGCGCTCACGTAGCGGATACAGACGCGCTCACGTAGCCGATACAGACGCGCTCACGTAGCCGATACAGACGCGCTCACGTAGCGGATGCAGATGCACTCACATAGCGGATGCAGACGCGCTCACGTAGCCGATGCAGACGCACTCACGTAGCGGATACAGACGCGCTCACGTAGCCGATGCAGACGCGCTCACATAGCGGATACAGACGCGCTCACGTAGCCGATGCAGACGCGCTCACATAGCCGATGCAGACACGCTCACATAGCGGATGCAGACGCACTCACATAGCCGATGCAGACGCGCTCACATAGCGGATGCAGACGCGCTCACGTAGCGGATACAGATGCGCTCACGTAGCCGATGCAGACGCGCTCACATAGCCGATGCAGACGCGCTCACATAGCCGATGCAGACGCGCTCACATAGCCGATGCAGACGCGCTCACATAGCGGATGCAGACGCACTCACATAGCCGATGCAGACGCGCTCACATAGCGGATGCAGACGCGCTCACGTAGCGGATACAGATGCGCTCACGTAGCCGATGCAGACGCGCTCACATAGCGGATGCAGACGCGCTCACATAGCCGATGCAGATGCGCTCACATAGCGGATGCAGATGTGCAGACGCACTCACGTAGCGGATGCAGACGCACTCACGTAGCGGATGCAGACGCACTCACGTAGCGGATGCAGACGCACTCACGTAGCCGATACAGACGCGCTCACGTAGCGGATGCAGACGCACTCACATAGCGGATGCAGACGCGCTCACGTAGCCGATGCAGACGCACTCACGTAGCGGATACAGACGCGCTCACGTAGCCGATGCAGACGCGCTCACATAGCGGATACAGACGCGCTCACGTAGCCGATACAGACGCGCTCACGTAGCCGATGCAGACGCGCTCACATAGCCGATGCAGACGCGCTCACATAGCGGATGCAGACGCACTCACATAGCCGATGCAGACGCGCTCACGTAGCGGATGCAGACGCGCTCACGTAGCGGATACAGACGCGCTCACGTAGCCGATGCAGACGCGCTCACATAGCGGATGCAGACGCGCTCACATAGCCGATGCAGATGCGCTCACATAGCGGATGCAGATGTGTAGACGCACTCACGTAGCGGATGCAGACGCACTCACGTAGCGTATGCAGACGCGCTCACGTAGCCGATGCAGACGCGCTCACATAGCGGATGCAGACGCGCTCACATAGCCGATGCAGATGCGCTCACATAGCGGATGCAGATGTGTAGACGCACTCACGTAGCGGATGCAGACGCACTCACGTAGCGGATGCAGACGCGCTCACGTAGCGGATGCAGACGCGCTCACATAGCCGATGCAGACGCGCTCACATATGAGCAGACTAATCAGCATTTTGAGCTTAATTTCTGCTCATAATTGCTTTTTGGTGATGAGAATCTTTCAGTCTTTTGAGTGATGTTGGTCTGCAGTGTGCAAGTAGAGTCCATACGGGCTGAGAAAAGGAGGTATTCTCTCAGTTCTCAGGGGTCATGCCAAAGAAATCCATGGATCTGTTTTCCTAGAAGGATTATTAACCACTGCAGCTGATTCAGATTGGAGCCTCTTTATCACCAATGCTGTTTAGACAATGGGGCTCATGTCTTCTGGGTGTTGGTCATTAGCTGTCCGAATAATTCTCATATTTAGACACTGATCTGATGAGCTACAGCTCATCTTAGAGGTTTGGTTATATGTTCTGTCTCCCCAAAAGTAAGTAAATAAATAAATAAATATATATATAAATAATTAAATAAAGCAATATTTTGGGTTCACAAGTCATGTTTAAATGAGTAAATCTCCATTTCAGCCAGAAAAGATAAACAACAAAAATGTGCTTTTAGAATCAGCCATGATCATAAAAAATCACCTTTGAGTGTCAGAAACCTGATATGTAAGCCCCCCCCCCCCCCCCCCCCTGATGTCGGGGCGAATGCTGCAGCTTGTCAGAGCTCAACAAACGAGGCCCGCTCGGTTGGTGGAATCTGTTCTTTGTCAGCAAAAAGCTGCCGAGCAAAACGGACAGAACACTTTTCTGTAGAGCCGACGTGTGACAGCAAGTTCCATAGTTCTACTTTTTTCTATTTGTTATTGAAAAATGAACATGCAAAAATCCTAAATTAACACGTATTTCTCTCTATGATGATGATGGCATGCAGAAATAAAAAGACATAAATGCAAAGAACTGACAACACTGTGTTTGAATTCCAGACCAAACGCCAACTCCAACACGTTTCTTGAAGAACTGTGAAGAGGTGGGACTGTTTAGTGAGCTGGACTGCTCCATTGAGCAAGAGTTTTGCAAAGCCCAAGAAGAAGAAGACAGCAAACAGGTAAACTTCAAATAGCAACGTGGGTTTCAAAGGAAAAAACCCCAGAAATACCTAAAACCACAGCTATCAACAGAGTTTAGGTCATGATTCGTTATCTAGAGCCATCATAAACCCTGTCACACATAGCTGCCTGCATGAAACACTCTAAACAGAAACACCTAGACCTCTTAAAACCACACTGGGGACTTAAAAAAGCAAATAGCCACAAGGGTTTGAACTCATGTTGTGTATTTTCTCCTCTTGGTTCAAAATGTGAAGTTGTGTTACCTTTCCTTGTGCACAATGCAATACATTGTTAACACTGTTTTACTTTGTCAGTTGCGACATGTGAATGGAGATTTGTCACCCACCGTGAGTAAAGAGAATAGGGATCAGGTTCTTCACCTGTAACTTCAAAAACCTCCTCAGGGGCGGAGTCGAATTTCCACCAAGAAGTAAAACCAGACCTCAGAGACAAATTTTCCTTAGCTGTGGCAAAACCAGACAGACTGGCCAAGTGTCGTGTCTGTGTGAGAGCAAAGTCCAAAAAATACCAGAATTTGTCAAAACATGTCATTATTTATGCGTTCTGGATCTGCCCTGAGGCACCTTCACCTGAGATATGGGTACTACTCAGTTCACCACCAGACAGACTGCTTATTTAACGTCTGGGAAGTTATGCAGCGCAGCTAAGCTGTTGTCTTGGGAGGTTTGTCTCTGGAGCTCGTCTGTGCTCGGGTCAGCCGTGTCTGGTCTGCCCAGTCTGTGTGGTTTATGATGGGAGACTCTGCCAGGTCAGCAGGAGGCGAGTCAGAGCAAGACAATGTGGGAGTGGAGTGGGCAAGATGCAGAGAATAGCAGCAAAAGTACTTGGAAGCGGAAAGCTGAATGAAAAACAACACGTTGTACACATTTGTTTTCATTTGATTTAAGCTGATCCCAACAAACATATCATCTGCGTGTTCTCTGCTTGCTCCTCTTTTCCTCTCTGCAGAACATCTCACTGCACGGCCAAGCGGGCCAAGGCCAGCACCAGCACCCCCACTCACGGATGGCCAGTCATGATACCAGCATAGTGATCCAGCAGGCCCTGCCGTCTCCTCAGTCCAGCTCCGTTATCACTCAGGCTCCTTCCACAAACAGACAGATAGGGTGAGTGAGCCACTCAGAAACCTGTTGAGAAAAGCAGCTTTTGTCGTGTGAAGAGCGGCCGCAGAGCAGAGTACTGCTGCTGCGTGTTCCTACTTTATTCCTCAGCTGCTGATCATTTCTGACGGACTTCAGTTTATCTGACAAGTAGCAGATTTTGTCCTCTCACCTCGAGTGTGCCCCCGTCTCAGGGGCAGCTTTCAGCCAAGCCTGGCCTCTTTGTGTTCATGCCAGCTGTCCTCCCCCCATGGTCCCTGAGGTAATCTCAGTGTTTAGTTACATTTAGAGACGAGTATTTGGGGCCAGTAATTCATGTTTTGCTGTTCATTCAGTATTGTCCCACAGCACAGCATGCCAAATAACGTCCCAGAGGACTGGATGAGGTCATTGTTGAAGCCTCAGCCATGGCTGCTTTTACTAGAGTTTAGCATTTCATGTTCTTTTCAATGTATGGGAATGTGGACCGCCTCAGGGTGCTGCTTCTCTGATTCAAAATCTGTGGTGTTCTTCTGCTTCATCATCCCTCTGTGAGTTTCACTAGTAATTTGTTAGTAGACTCTTATCCAGAACTTATCAAATTTTATTTGTAGAGCACTTAGCATGAAAATAATCAGCACTAAGTGCTTTACATAAAAAAGAAAACAATGTACACGGATTAGAAACACAGCTTTAGCGCATCAAAATGACACGACCAATTCAAACACTCAGCACACACCCTGAAAACAACAAAAACAAACATCTCAACACTGAAGTTAAAAACACTTAGAATAAGAAAAAAAATCAGCTAAAAATAGTTTGAATCAATCATGTAAAAGCCAAGCCAAATAGAAAGGTCTTGAGCCTCATTTTCAAAACATCAACACTTTCAGCAGCCCTGAGGTTCTCCGGCAGACGAGGGCCAGAGTAGGAAAATGAGGCTTTGCCGTATGTTTTGTTCCTAACTTTTGGGATGACTAAAGACCCGTAGGACCTCAGGGGACGCGGTCCAAAGAAGGTCCAAGACCATGGACTAAAAGAACCTTAAAATCAATCCTAAAATGTACAAGGAGCCAATGCAGAGGTTTTAGAACTGGTGTAAAATGTTCCCGCCCTCTGGTCCTGGTCAACACACGTGCTGCTGATTTCTGGAGTAGCCGTGGGCTAGGAACACTCTTTTTGGGTAGACCAGTGCAATGCAATAATCTAATCTACTTGAAATGAAAGCATGCATTAACACCTCTGCGCTGGCAAGAGAGAGAAATGGGCGAAGCCTGGCTATGTTTTTAAGGTGATAAAATCCTGGTTTGGTTGTATTTCTGATAAGGACGCCCAGATTTCTCACACATTGAGAAGGTTTGAAATTTTGTTGTTCTGCCTAAACGATCTTTTGTCGCTCTCTTGTATTCAAGACCGATCATTAAAACTTCCGTTTGTCTGGTTGAGCTGTAAAAACTTCTGCCATCCGTGACTTTATATCTAAACTACAGTTTGAAAGTAAGCGTGCTGGTTCGACGTCATCAGGGGGCACGGCAATGTAAAGCTGCGTGTCATCAGCATAGCGGTGAAAATCAATGGCATGTCTTCTGACATGTGCATGTACGGATAAAAAATGTTGGGCCTAAAATTGATTCTTGGGGAACTTATGAAATGATTATGTCCCTCATGAGTTCCCCCAGCTGACCTAATCCCTCCCCTCACCTCATCCACCTCCACACTCGTGCCAGGGCTCTGTCGCTGTAAACCAGGCCTGTGGTAGGTTTGCTAGACATTGAGATGGCCCTGTGCTGAAGCTGTCCTGTGTAGACTTACAGCTTAAGGAACTGGTGAATATTAGATGGGAGGCCCATCACTAAGCTAGACTGACATCTTGTCAGGCTCTTTGTTGAGCACAGGGATGGAATTTCATCCCCTCGGAGGAGCAGCAATCACTGGCAGTAACCGAGACGTTCCTGGACCTGCTTCACCTGAGTTTACCTGGCATTACAGACTCCTTACTGCAGCAAAGGCCCTCTACCTCTCCCCACAGCTTCAGAGAGACACTGGGGTTCTTACAAATTGAAAATCTGAGCTTGGCCCCTTCTTTCCATCAGCAGCACATTGCTGCAGCAGCGCGTCTTGCTCGCGTAAGCTGCTGCTTGGCTCTTCCCACGAGATGCGAAGCAGCAGGGGAGCAGCTGTCACCGACCGAGCACGAAGTCACACGAGTGGCTTCATCAGTAAACACAACAACAAGCAGGAGAAAATTACAACGTGGCTCCAAAAGTTTTGTGTTTTATGTTCTGTCCGTTTTATAATCGCCAATACGGACCTGAAAAACAAAGGAGACCGCTAGCTACGTGATAACTTTTCATGGGGCCGCACAGTTGGTAACGTTTTTTTAAAGTAAAGCAACCGGAAGGCAGTACGTTTCTTTATTCTGAAAATCTCGGGAGCTTCGCTCCGTTTCTGCATCTGATTTCCTGACTTTCCGTCCCCAAAAATGTCGAACTTGACCCGTTTCAGAGGCGTAAGGGCCGCGACACGCTGCTCCTGAGACGCGGCCGACTCGCGCTGCTGACGGCTCCGGTGGAAAAGGTTCTGTTGACCACAGCGGTTCCTATCAGCAGCTATGACGTGCTGCTGCAGTAACGTGCTGCTGACGGCTGCGGTGGAAAGAATGGGTAATAGTAACAGAGTAGAAAAGTTACAAGCTCTTCTCTGAGGAACCGTCCGAGCTGCTGATCCTGGACCTGCAGAAGCTCTGCTGTGGAATCCTGACACATGAATAAAACTGATTCTCACAAAACCACACCGAGCTTGAAAATTTCACATCAAAGAGTGGAGTCCCTGACATGTGTTGTTAAAATGTGAAGGATGGGGTTAACATAAGAACTGGACGGTGGATATTAAAATGGTTTTATTGCTGAAAAAGGTTCTAAAAAAAAAGAGTAAACAGAGGTCTCTAAAGGGTCAACATCACAACTAATTATCAACTATAAAAACACCTGGTCAAAACTTGTTAAAAGCTTAACCGAACAGAAGGTGTGTTAAAATCCCGAAGTTGATAAAAGTTCCAAAACAATCTATTGACCTAAAACACCCGGTAACACTTATTTTAAAAGCTTTACCAAACTGAAGGCGTTTAAAACCGAAGTCAATAAAATTGCACCAAACCAAGTTAACCTTAAAATCAAACTGCTAAGAGATCCCACTGGATCCTCCAAAAAACTTATCACTAAGAGTTAGAACTACCAACGTTCCAAACTACCAACGTTCCAAACTACCAACGTTCCAAACTACCAACGTTTCAAACTACCAACGTTCCAAACTACCAACGTTCCAAACTACCAACGCTCCAAACTACCAACGCTCCAAACTACCAACGTTCCAAACTACCAACGTTTCAAACTCATCCAAACAAATCCAAACGAAAGGGGTTGAACCCAAACTAAAGCGGGAGGCCAGCAGAACCCCTGCACTGCTGCCTCCCAGACTGCTGAAGGCACAGCCCTTTTATGCAGGTGTTGGTGATCAGGGCGATGCAGCTCAGCTGTGCTCCTCAGCAGCCCGGGAGAGAGGAGGAGGAGGGGCGGAGTCAGGCTGATCACTAGGGCAGGGTGATCCTGGCTCCTGCTCTTCACTCAAGGCTGGCAGCCGTGACACTGTATGTCTAAAGTATGTTTTATCTGGTTTAGTTTCAATCATAATGACTGAAAGATTGAGAAACAGCTATAATTCACCTGAAACACTCCACATGTTGTGCTTTGTCACAAAGGACAGCAAAACCAGCTGGATCTCAGCCGTGCCTCCATGTTTGTGTTCCTCTGTAGCGGTGAGCGTGCAGCATCCGATGAATTAGGACAACAAGTCATTGTCGTTGCTCCTCAAAGCGCTCTGAGGCAGGAATCAATTAGGTTTGGTTTTCCATTTACTCTGAGCTGGCCTTGCAGCTGTGAGACGTGCAGACCCCTCTCGTTACCACCTCTATTCCTTACCTTCCTCTGCTTCCAGTCCTCAGACGAGGCCTTCGACACAAACCAGCGTTGAAACCGAGCAAAGAAAATAACCTGCAGCTCCTAATGTCAAAGCTGTCATTATCACACAAAGGGAAGCGGCGTTCAGCTGTTCTGAATGCCCTCTGCTGTTTGATCATAAACATCTGGTGCTGAGTAATGTCAGCGTTAAACGTGCTGGACAGCCAGCTATGTGTGACACAACCTCCACCTTCTGACTTGCAGGAAGCAGAGAAATGGGGGAGATGGGCGTGGGGAGGAGACATTAAATATGACATTCTTTGGCTCCATAGAGTCATTTAGTCCAATTGTTTCCATTACATAGCAGAGTCCAGTGGAAAACAGCTGTCTTGGGAAACTGTCTTGAGTTTTTTATGATAATGACACTTGTAAGTTCTTAGTTTGGGTTGTTTGTAATACACGTGCTATTTTACAGAGAAGTGAAATTGTGGCATCGACGGGTCGTCTCCATGTCGTGTCGTTGTTCTGCTCAGCAACAAAAGCGGGTGATTTCAACCAGCACAGTGAATGAACCCGGTTCAGGTGCTGAGCAGAACAACAACACCACATGGAGACGACCCGTCGATGCCACCATTTCACTTCTCTGCTATTTTGTCATCTAAGCCATATTTATGTGAAGGGAAGGTAAATGTAATTATTCAGTGTTAACTCTCACTTTTTTCTCTGAAGTTAGTAAGTGGACTTCCTCCTGATGGCAGCAGGTAGTATGTAGTGAGGACACGCTAGTGGCTGAGTGGAGGTCGTGTTGAGTTGATGACTAGATACAGGTGATTTATCATTTCTCGTCGGTGCCGACATAAAAAGCAACACTTTACAACCACTTGTTGCTCATGTCAAGCAGAGTTTAGTTTTTGTGGCCAAACATTTTAAATATGTTTTCAGGACTTGGCTCTATTTTAGATGTAAGCTGATATCAGCTCATTGTTGCCTAAAGGCCTGTTCTTAAAAGCAAACAACTGGAGTGAGAAATCTTGTTGGTGTTGTTCTCTCTGCTTGTGACATTGGGGATGT